CTTCTTTCTAACCAGAGAGAACGCTTCTTTCTAACCAGAGAGAACGCTTCTTTCTAATCAGAGAGAACGCTTCTTTCTTACCAGAGAGAACTCTTCTTTCTAACCAGAGAGAACTCTTCTTTCTAACCAGAGATAACTCTTCTTTCTAACCAGAGAGAACTCTTCTTTCTAACCAGAGAGAACTCTTCTTTCTAACCAGAGAGAACTAGAGAGAACGCTTCTTTCTAACCAGAGAGAACGCTTCTTTCTAACCAGAGAGAACTCTTCTTTCTAACCAGAGAGAACTCTTTTTCTAACCAGAGAGCTTATTTGGAATTAAATATACCAACATAACTTACATCTAATTTCTTGGGAAGGCCTGCAAATTTATCAGGAGCAACCAACATAACTAATCCAAGATGCAAATATGTTTACATGAAATGCAACAATTGTTTTTAAAAAATGACAATTTAATGTTAAATAAATCAATTTAAATGTTCCTACTTATACAAAGTATGTGAAATGTAAATTGTGGCTGATTATAGTGTTTTAGCAAAAATAAATAAATATTACGTTGACGTGTTTTAAGCGCATCAGACATATTTACATTTGGATTCATCAATTCAACAACACAGAGACACAATTATAAACACCATGCACCAATTTACAATAAAAACAGAAAATTATTCCATTTGAATTTTTTAAAATTTATCAGTGACTATCATGAAAGAAGGAAACATTCAAATTATGACTGGTATATTCAGCGAGCGTAAAGTAATAGAAAAACTATATCATTTTTTAATCCTTAACATATTTGAGAATATAAATCTGATCATCACCTGGTCTCACAATCAGTTCTAAGCTGAACACGTGACAAATTACAATGTAATAAAGAGCAGCTCATATTAGTTTATTCTTTTAAACAGAAACAGTGGACGTACAGCCAGGGGCTGCTAATGACACGCATTTAATGAACTGTTTATCAGCAAGTTTGATAACTTCTATACGAATGTTACCCTGAAGCAGTCAGGTGTGTTATCACGAAGCCAAAGAGGAAAAATATCAGCTGAAATGTGAGAGAAGAATTTGTGACTGTCAATCAGCCGAGAGTGGTTTTTTAATCATTTACACACAATCTGAAGTCTGTAGTTAAAATAGTTTTTTTGTTGTTACTGAAAAACATTCGACAGCTGCCCGTCATCCCAGAAGTGAACGTCTTTTAGAAAATTATACAAAGTGTGTTTTTCTACTATGTCAAACTTTTGTAAAACTACAGATGCGAGTAAGTGGAAAATAACATCAGGCCAAAGTGTTTTGAGATTATTTGTCTGTTGCTGAGCAAAGGAAGAATTGTGTGGGTGAAAGAGATAAAGTGTTCCCGGAGGATGGGAAGGGAGACGGGGCTGAATCCAAGACCAGACAGTGGAAGAAGAAGCAGCTGGCAGCTCAGGATGGATAGATACCTCCGTCTGCGTGTGCTGAATTTTCAGAGAATCACTCGTGTTGTGAAGTGATCTTCTCTCCTTGAAAGTATTTTCAATACAACTTTGTTCAGCTTCAATCCCAGATTCCTAAGAGATTATTTTAAGGGATTTTTTTCTTCTTCTAACAACATTTCAGAAAGTTCACCCAGTGTGTGCTGCTGAAAGAAGTAGAACTCAAACATGATCTCCACATGTCTGAGTTAGCACGTGGAAGCTAACAGCAGCGCAGCTAGAAGAAGACTGACCTGTTTGAAAGGGTTGCCAGAACAGGTAAAAAGAAGAAGACT